CTCTGCCTCCTCAGCCAAGGACACAGTCAGTGCCATCAATATTTACTTTTACTTTCCTGCTCTGGTCACGTCCATGAACGTGGGTCAGCGCCTTGCACCTAGTATATCTTTCCACATTTCTTCCTCCAGATTTGCCTGGGATCCACACTCCTCCCCCTACCCATGCCTGATGTGCTCTCTGAAGCTCTCTCTCCCACCCTGAAGCTCTGCAGTCCCTGTAAGAGCCATACCAGGCTAAGGCATCTGAGGGCCTCAAGGCCCTGGGAGTACTAGGAAAGGGAAAAAGAAGCTACTAGAACATGCCTGCTCAGAGTCATGGAGGACCGGTGTTGCACCGGTCCCTCCCCACTCCAACTTTCACCGCATTCCAGGAAACCAAGACCCAGAGTACAAGGTCAACTGCTCTAAGTCCCCTGGCTTCATAGGGCTCAGGCTGGAGCCACAGCTTCTTAATCACAACCTAAGAATCCTTTTCTATACCCCTCACACACGTATCGGCCTCTCAGCACTTCCTACTCAAAGTTCTTTCAAACCCAGAATGAAGAAGAAGAGTGTTCGGAAAGGTGTGTGGCCCAAGCTCCCAGACTGATCCCGTTTGGGATAGCAGGGAGCAGTTTCTGATGCAACAGTAACTTTCATGAAGAACCACAGTTTCCCTTGGGAATTTGTGACTTTTAGAGCCAAGGAATGGAGAAGACCAGAGGTTTCATCAGAGCGGCTCAACAATGCACTCTGACCTTGCAGGCCACACAAAGGAAGAACAGCTCAGATCTACATGAGGCAATATATCTGTGCAGAGGAGGGCAGTGGCCGGGTGGGAAACACCAAAGTACATTTCAGCTTAGCTACACAAGGTGGGGATGTACGGTGGTGCTCTAGGGACACCCACAGTTAGTTGTTCAGAGGACATAACTTTGAATTTTCAGAGTTCAAATTTCAGAGCAAACAGGAATTTGAGTATGAAGCGGCTCTGAGCACGAAGATCTTCACCTTTTCAGGCAAGAGGCCCTGGAACAGCCCTCTTCGTGCCTCTGTCTTCTTTCTGTCCTCTGAGGCTCTCCTCCAGAGTCCTGGTTTGAAAGCCATCTATTTTCTGGACCTCAGATTGGCGAGTCCAGCTCTCTGCCTGAACTCTGAAGTCTAATAGACAAGTCTGGCCTGAGCCCTATACATGCTCCTCCAGACTTTCCAGATTGCTTAATCCTGTCCTTCCAACACTCAGGTCAAACCACACAGTCATCCCCAGTGAGCACCTGTTCTCCTGCACTCATAGCTAGTGTGTCAGGAAAACACCATTAGTTCCACTTCCAAAACAGAGCCAGCCGGGCCATTTTCCACAGTGTTTTCTGTTGCCACCATATTGACCCAAGCTACTATCATCTCCCACCTGGGAAGATGGTGGGGTACAAGTGAAGACCTCAGGGATTCCACTAAAACTGAAAGTGTGAATGTATATATTCTAAATAGAACATGTGTCTGAGAATTTAAGGGTTTTTTTGGTTGTTTGTTTTTGCAGTTCTGGGGGTTGAACCCTGGGTCTTGTGCTTGCTAGGCAGATGCTGTATCACATGGACCATACTCCCAGTCCTTTTGGCTTTATGTATTTTTCAAATAGGATCTCAATTTTTTTTTTTTTGCCCAGGCTGGCTTTGGACCATGATCTTTCTATCTATGACTCCCTTGTAGTTTGGCTGACAGGAGTGTGCCACCTCACCCAGCTTACTTGTTAGGGTTGGGTGTCGCTAACTTTTTGCCCAAGTTGGCTTCGAACTGAAATTCTCCCAATCTCTGCCTCCCAAGAAGCTGGGATTACAAGTGAATCATGTGATAATGGTATGCCTAAAAATCTCTGGGGAGGCCTGGAGCAGGCCAGGGAGATGCAGGGTTTTCTGAAGAATCCCACCAGACTGTATGAAAACTTTGGAGATGGCCTTCAGCTGCTAATAACCCAAAGGCTGCTAGTAACCGTGTGGGCAGAGGCAGATAATCTGAGCATTACCGTCACATCACTCGACAGCCCTCTTACTGGCTGTGGGTGGAGTGCAGGGTTAGCCAGAAGTGAGTGTGGGTGCAGGCCTGAAGAGGCTTTGGTTGTGGGCAGAGGTCAATGACCTATGTCTGCTCTGATCTTGAGGACCCCCTTTGGCTGTCCCCCGTGTCTAATCACAGTGGGGACACAAGGGTTAGTTAGTGAAGGAGATGGTCTTGGTGGGTAGCCAGACCTCCAAGTTACCCCACATGGGCTTTGGACAGAGTTTCCTTTGCTTAGGTACAACAGTACTTTACAGTTTAAATAGGTGCTCTTATGTGAGCGTCAAAAGCCATTGCTATCAAATTCATACTCCTTTGACAGGCAAGGAAGTTAAGTCTTAAGGCATTTTGGTAACAGAAGAAGACTCAAAAGTTTGCCTGTTTTCTGATTCCAAGCCCAGTCCTTATTTTCCTCTCCCAACTGCCCTCCTACCTTGGGTGATGATGTGTTTATTCTTTCTGTTTAGATGCCATTAGAACAGTGTCTTATAGAGGGTGGAGGGAGGCTGGAAGGAGAGAGAGGTGCTTCAGAAGGCAAAAGGTGGGCAGACAAATGATTTCTTATTCAGAAAATGAAAAAAAAAAACAACAACAAAAAACAAAATAGAAACCCTTTCTGGTTACTTAAGGAAGAAATTACAGAAAGTAAAGTTTGGAAAAACCCTGGCTGGTGGGAGTTTCCTGGAGGGGAGCAAGAGAGCTGTGTGCTTAGCAAAGGGCTGGGAGAATGAGGCGTGCGGGCCTCACCCCTCGCAGAAGGCCTGGACTCCAGCTCTGGTGAGAAAAGTACCTAAAGGTACCTAATTTCTTCGCTGGTACCTTTAACAACAGTGACTTGGGGGAGAGAATTTTTGCCTGTGAAATTCACAGGGTAGTTAAGAGTTACATGATATAAATAGAACTGACATAGCAGGTTAAGAGCTCTGTACTCTTCCAACAGCAAAAGAACAATGGAGGAGCTCCTGGACTGCACTGGGTCCTCTGCCATCCTAGGGATGCTGTCTGCTTGCTGTCCTGCCTGTATTTCGTGCCATGGGCTCTGAGTCTGTCCGCAAGACCTCCATGGATCTGCAGATGGCTGAGCCTCTGCTGCTCTTCCATCCAGCTGCTCTCCCCATGGTACCCTAGGCAGAACACTGCATGGCACTGGCTCTAGGCCCAGTGCTTTGCCTTTAAACGCCTGGGCTGAAACAGCACTCAGGGCTCATGAGGCCTGAAAAACTCAAAGTCCACTCAGGAGGGGAGGAAGCTCAGAGCATTTGTGGAAGACTGACTTTTTTTTTATGATCTGATGATTTACTGGAAGATGTCAAGGCAGAGTACATAGATATACACGCACACACTTGCACACACACGCACCATGAGACAAAGACAACCCAAGGTTCTCGGAAACAGAGGGCAATTGAATCCAGTGCTATAGGGTGAGCAGGGAGTGGGCAAGAGGTCAAAGGATGGGATGTATGGCAAGTGTCACAGCCTCCTTCTGAAGTCGGGTGTCTGGAAGGGTGGGGGAGTCAGGCCAATGAGAGGACATATCTGTTCTATTGACTGGGGTGGGTAAGGATGCACAGTGGAGTTTCCAACATCTTAGATCAAAACTCTAAAGTATCTGCTCTTTGCTATTATTCAATAGTTCAGTGCATCAAAGTTTATGCAAACATTACCAAGTCTCTTAATTAAGGAAAATCATGACAAAAAATTAAACAACACATGTTAAGGACTAACTGCAAGAGGGCTTGCCTATAGATAGAGAGAAGATTTAAACATGCCAGTAACGAGAAGACATGTGCAGGAACTGAAGGAACTGTATAGGAGGAGGCAGCTCTGGGTAGGAGAGGACGCAGGGGGCTTGGAGTGCAGGCTGGGGTCTGCCTAAGGCCAGGGAGCCAGGGGCAGATTATGACGTGGGGTGGTAGGTTCACGTGGGTGTGAAGCACTCACTTGGAGCCTGCTCCAAGGCAATGGGGAGAAAAAGCCCACCCAGAAAGCTCTCAGCAGATCATCCAACCACCGGACTCTAGTGCTTCCAGAGAATATGACTGGTTTGCCTCTTCTCTCCCAAACCATCTTGGAGGGGGCCAGGTGACCTGCAAGGGCTGCTGATGTTAAATTGAAAGACAGCCCATTCAACGTGAAGGTAATCAGGGCGTTCTTGGGAGAGGATGGGTGATGGATGACAGTGCAGACCAAGTCTAGCCTCAGCCAAGGCTCCTTTTCAAGAGGCTAATGGGGGATGGAAAGGCAAAGGGGGAGAGGCAGTGGTCTGGAGGTGAAGGTCAAAGTTACAGGAGGTTTGGGTCCCGGCCCCAGCAGCTGCCCAGAAGTTGTAAACAACCCTTCCTTTTGTCACTCCTTAATTCACATAGCTGCTTCCTCCTATACAGTGTGAGTCATGCCAGGCTGATTGGACAGGGAGAGAGAAAAGATGCAGCAGTCAACACTTAAAAGGATAGGGGGAGTCCTAATGCGTTCCAAAAGTTAAAAAAAAAAAAAAGAATAAAAACTTTAAAACAAAGCAATAAGAAAAAAAATCTTTTGAACCAATTTAAACAAACACAAACAAAATGAAATAAAAATAAGGAGGTAGGCAGAAAAAATAAAAATGGACAAAAATAAAGCAGGGACAGACAAATGAGTGTGAAGCAGGCCTGGACAGCTGGTTCCAGACGCCATGTACTTACGTGTACCTCGGTGATAGCTATATCAACAATGCTACCCACAACAATCAAGGCGTCAAATGTGTTCCATGCATCACAGAAATAGTGCTGCATGGGGCAGAGAAGCCAGGAAGAGAGAGAGAGGAGAGGGGAAAAAAAAAAAAAAACAAAAAACAAACCAACAACAAAGGAGAAAAACAAAACAAAAGGGAGGAGAGAAAATGAAAAAAAAAAAGGCATGAAAGAAAGGAGAGAAGAGAAAAAAAATGAGAAAAGAAAGAGGTTACATGGGCATATTAAATACTCTCTTACCACTCTATAGTTCTGACGGCTCAAACCTGGGCAACCTGGTTTTCGCAGGGCGGAGAGGTCTGACAAAAGCTGGGTTAGTTCCGAGGGAGTGGGGCTGCGGCCACCTGCGAGGGGCGCTGGCTGCCCCTCGAGACACCGCCTGCTCCCTCCGCTCAGCTCTGTGCGCTTGGGCCCAGCACAGCGGGGCTGAGCTGGCACAAGTGGAAAAAAAGGAGGACAAATTCCCACTTTTTTTCCCCACAAGACGACGGCAGTTTCAATAAAAAGCATGACTGGAGGCGGGTAAAACAGGAAATTAAAAAAACATAAAAGTAGGTAAAGAGAGAGAGAGAGAGAGAGAGAGAGAGAGAGAGAGAGAGAGAGAGAGAGGAACAGAGGCAGAAGAGATGGGGGGGCTTCCCTGATAGGGTAGAGTAATACTCACATTAGTTTCACTGAGAATGACATCAATTATGCTCCCAATCACGATGAGGAAGTCAAAAACATTCCAGGGATCACTAAAGTAACCCTACATGAGGGAGGGGCAGGCAGGATGGGGATTAAAAAGGAATATTAGACAGACAAGAACAGAGCAACATCACCATCAGAATCATTGTCCAGGCACCTCAGTGTCGCTGTTGGGAGTTCCAAGTGCCCCTGCTCTGGCCAGTAGTCCAGCCCGGGAGGAAGTGGCAGGAATGCACCCAGTACAACTCTCCTGCCTTGCCTTCCCTTGGTTACATGGTCCCCATCCTACAGGTCCATCCCTCCTCTTACCCTCCTCCACTTCCCAGCAGGGCAGGAGTGAGCGTGGGCACAGGGTTGAGCAAGTCACATTGGTGCAGGGACATGGTGAGGCTCTTTGTCGTCCATGTCTCGGCATCTTCCCACCCTTCTAACTCCTACATCTGTCCATCAGAAGGGCCTGTCAGGAGCGAGGGATGCAGGTGCTATTCTCTCAGAGGTGAGCGGTGACTGGGCTGTGGTCCTATGGGTGATGCTAGGATGGAAGGGACCCTGAAAGCTGTAGACATTGGTGTGGGCCGAGGCTGACCAGGTTATCTAGGCTTGCAGGTGACTCACGTAAAGCTCTGAGATAACTACAGAACTGGATCGTTGAAACAATGTCCACAGTAAGCTGGACTCTGTAGATGAAATTGGGCTAAACCTGGCTCTTACGCTGAATGTGCCCAGGGGCAGCTCTGTTCATAAAGACCTTCCCACCTGGAAGGAGACTGACAAGGCCCATCTCCTGGTCTGGGACACCCAAGGGACTCTGGGCAGTGCTGTTTGGGGTGTCTCTTAAGCACTTCCTCAGGCCCCTTGTGCCTCAGGGGATTGCGTGACTCCTTGATGGGCAAGGCTTGGTGAAGAGGAGATGGGATTCAAGACTGGACCATTTGCCTCTCTAAGAGGTGTGGGGTCCTAGGGAGCAATGTTCTGTGACCCCATGGAGCTCAGGGCCACACCTGAGGAGGTCCAATAACAGGACAGCCATGTTCCCCACAGGCAGAGCGTTAAGGACCCAGTATGAGGGGATTTGTTTTTTTTTTAAGAAAGGACATTTGCTCTTTTCATTTTCCAGGGAATGTTCTGTAAAGGGGACAAGACAGGGCTGGCCAGATACATTCGTCAGGGTCAGCATCCCCATCGTTGAGTTTCCAGGGGAGGCAAATCTAGAGGTTGCTGAGTGGGTTTGACAGTGGGAAGGGTACCCTCAGAGCTTCCTGGGTCTCTCCCCAGCTCTCTCACAGGCCGCTGATTCTTCCCTTTCTCTTTTTACTCACAAGAGTCAAGCCTCTGCATCCTTCCTCCTGGCTCTATCCAGCTCCCACTATCCCAGCCATGCCCTTTCCAGAGGGACTTGCAGGCATGCTGTCCTAGGGCTGTTATTCTTAGAGTGGGAGTCAGGTCACGGGAACAAGGCCTCCCTGTTCCCAGGCATTTCTGCCAAAAGAAAACAAACGCCACCTCGGCAGCTTTGGGCAGCCAGCTTGGGAGCTGAGGTTGGCCAGGGCATGGGTCAGGTGAGGGTCAGCGAGAGTCATGACTATCTTGTTAGCTTCCCAGAGCATTTTTCTGAATGCACCAGAGCCTTGAGGAAGGCAGGGACTTTTCTCCCAGCTAAGTCATGTGCTATGAGCAGGAAGCAACCAATCTCCTTTCGGGTTCTCAGATCATTCCTAGGGTGAAAGGTGAACACTGACTTTTGGGGGTGGGGGAAGGGAGTCAAGAGTGAAGATCCCTAAATGAACTATTCATATGCCTGTGCTTTAAAATTGGATTTTTGAAAACACTGGAGATTATCTCTAGATGCTATTATCATCTTTGTGGGTGGAGCTATTCAGAAGGGAAGGGGAGGGAGGGCAAGGAAGAGAAGGGAGAGAGACAGGAACAAGAAAAGATCCAGGGATGCTCAGCACCAACCTAGAAAGCATGGTAATTAAATGTTATTGGGGGGGCAGGACAGGAGTAGAGATAGAAGGATGGAGTGTCAGGGCTCAAGGAAGGAGAGTGAGTTGGAATCTTTCCATCCACCAGAGACCTGAAACAAGATGGATGAGTTGGCCATGGCCTGCAGCACCACTGAGAGAGGAGAGAGGGGAGGAAGAAGAAAGGCAGAGAGCAGAGAAAAGGCTACACGTTGAAAACCAGATACACACATGGTTAATCCACTGCCACACCCCAGGGAAAGGGGCTGAGACTTAAGGGACTCTGTCAACCTCCAAGCTGTGCACCCTGATTCCCCTTTCTCTTGGGGTTCTTTGTATGGTGCAGTCAGAAGGAAACACAGGACAATCAGCTTCTTGATCAAAGCTCTGTTAACCAAAACAACAGTCGTGGGCTTTGGTTTGGTTGGACTCTGTTGGATTAATGACTGGCTGTTTCCCTCTTGCCCTCCTAAGGCTGTGCTGCTGGAGCTTTTGATTGACTTCTCTGTGTTCTGGGAAGCTCCTTGGTTGACCCTGCCCAGCTGTAGAAACCAACCAGTTCCCTTGTCACCCAGGGCTCCTGTGGACCCAGCTCTGAGGGGACTCACACACAACTGGTATTCAGGGGTAAAGGAAGCACATCTAGGAGGGTGGACAGAGTCTCTTTAGCAGCAGCTTTTCACCCTGACCCACTCCTCCACCTTCCCACCCCTCTGTCCCACAGTCCATCAGTCCTCCAGCTGGACCTTCAAGATGGCTCCAGATCCAGCCTTCAGGTGTCCATTCTCTGTCAGCCTCCCCCTCCCACTCTTTCAACAGCCATATTCTCCTACCTAATCCACACCCCATCACAGAAACAAAGCCCACAACTGTCGTTTTGATTAACAGTTTTCCCAAGGGAGAAACCTGGCCAAGTCCTTGTGTGAGTGGGGCCTGGGAGGAACATTTTCCCCTATACTGTCTGGAGTGTAAGAGTTTGGTTCTCTCACTCTCCCTCTGTCATACACACACACACACACACACACACACACACACACACACACACGCACATGCACATGCACACACACACACACACACCTGGTTTTGCTGGAAATCATTGCTAATTGAGGATTTGGGGTATAACTGAAAAGGGATGGTGGGAAAATCATAGGTTTTTTTCTTTTACAAAATCAGTTTGATTTGGAACTAGCTTACCCTTTCTTTCCCTGATGATGGGTTCTAAATAGCTGGGAAAATCAGGGCTGGGGAAAGGAGTTTCCTGTTCTCCTGAAAGTGGAAAACCAAACCTCTTACTGTCCAGCTCCTCAGAGCCACACAGGTGGGGCATCCAGAAAGGATGGTGTTTGCACAGCTTAAAGCCTTTCCCTCACCATCCCCCAATCTTACAGATACAGCACAGCTCCCCTTTCCAATTCCTAGCCTCTGGGGATGAGTTCAGAGGATGGGTCTCTGCTGTGGCCAAGCTAGGCAAGGTAGATGTGCAGCCACTGGGCTGATGGGCAGTGTCTCCAGCCAGGGTCTGTCCTCATGTTCCTGAGCATTCCTTATTGACTGGAGCAGGTTGAATAATGTAGACTTAATTGATATTAGTCTCAGGAAATCATTAACAGGAAGGAAAAATTTCACGTGCATAAGAACTTTGGATTTTCTTCTCTTTTGGATTATCTGAACTCTGATTCAGCTCCCTCACTGGAGATATACAAATTTGAAAGAGGGAGTATAGTGGTTAAGAGTGTGTTCATCAGGAGTAGACTAGCTTCAAATCTACTCTGCTACTTACTAGCTGGGTAAACTGTGTTGGTCAACTTTTGTTACTATGACAAAATACCTAAGATAATCAACATAATGAGGGAAAAGGTTTATTTTGGGTCGTGGTTTTAGAAGTTTCAGTCCATGGTCACTTGGCCCCATTGCTTTGGGCCTATGGTGAGTTAGCACAACATGGTGGAGGAGGGACTGTGTTTCCCTCATGACAGCCAGGAAGCAAGGAGAATCAGGAATGAGCTGGGGTCCCAATATCCTCTTCAAGGCCATGCTCCCAGTAACCTAACTTTCTTCCACCATGCCCACCTTCTAAAGGTTCCACTCCCTCCCAATACAGTCATGGGTTTCACTACAAGGGCCTTTTGGGGACATTCGAGATCCAAACTCTAACATTAACTTTGTGCAAATAGCTTAAGTTTTCTATGCCTTAGGTTTCCCACTTACAGAGTGGGATTTACTACAGGGTTAAGGTGAAGACTGTGTGAGACTAAATATACAAAGAACTTGGAACTGTGCCCAATCTGAAGAAGGATCTAAAGAAGTATGAGCTACGGTCCTTTTGACTAGAGTTGATTTGCCTTCCTCTGAGGATCTACAGGTTCCATTTAGGTTGTAGGACTGAGCAGAGGGAGAAGCAAAGCCAAGTGTGTGGGAGGAGGAGGGAAGAAGTTGAAGGTTCTAGAATCCTGGGTTCTTTCTTCATCCATCTCTAAGGCCTTTTTTATCCATCCCCTGGTCACTAAGTATTAGTGGCCTCTAGAATGAAATCTGGTTGGTACTGTTGAGATTGGTGACAGTATGCAGGTTGCTATGGCTAAGTTTTGCTAGACTCAAGTTCAAGTAGACAGTTAACTTCCAGGCTCTTAGTGCTATTCAGACCAAGAAAGATATGGGCCAATCTTCCTTTGGCTATGAGGACTGGGTAGAGAGCTGGGCTGCTTCATGCGCCCATCTTCTGTCTCTGATGCAGAGAGAAGGACCATGATGGAAGAGGTTGTAGGCACGTGCTTTTGCTCTTGAATTCTAGATTCTGTTTCTTCACTACCCAGAGCACAGGCTAACTCTATGATCTTCTTAGAAGCACCATAAGAAGGAATCCACAAGAACACCTGCATTTATACTTATACCCCAGGATCGTGCTGTTTATTATTAAGGTAAAAGTTATTTTGTTGCCATTATATTTTTTGATCTCTTCTCTGTGCCCTGTTCAGATGGGGTCTGGCAAAGAGAAAGTCAAACAAAGAAACAGAGGAGACCAGGACATGTTTCCTGGCACCTATGGAGAAGTCTGCTTGACTTTTAGTTTGTCTCCAGACTCCTGTCTGGGACTGTT